TGTTAATTCAGATTTGCAATGGGTGGCATCTTACGCCCGTTGAGGAATATAAGAAGGAGCATTTGAAAGGAAGCCAGCATTTCCATCATTGGTTTGCTAATTCACACAGATGGAAATGACTCATGAAGATTTTAGATGCCTTTGTTTCAAAATCCATTTCCCTCCCAGTTTTCTTTTGCCTTAGTTGAATGGGAAAGATTTGTCACTTGAGTAAAGATACTTCATCTCTTTCACAGATGTTTCTTGGAGTGATTAATTAGTTTCTGAGTTTTGTGCTGCTCTTTCCCAATGTGTCATTGAAACAGATCCATTAACATGAGTGATGTGTGTTGTAATTTCATTAGTGTCCTCAATAATGTATTACACTTCCCTTTTAGTAGTCTCTTTGTGTTGTGTGTGGGTCAGGATGACTGTATGAATTACATTTATAAGTTCCAAATTGTTACAGATGAGCAAAGATAGGCATAAAGGTGGAATTAATGTTATTTTAAACATGATAACCACTAAAATGATTCCAATTAAGTCATATCTTAATTATGTCTGACGTCTCAACCATGCCATACTGAAATGCATGTTGTATGTATGCAAATGGGATAATGATTTATTGAATTAGAACTGCAAACAGTCATTGTTTCTGCAAGAAAATTTTTCTGAGTTCTACAATAAAGCAAATATATCTAAGGTCAGGAATATATGGAATATATGACCTTGTAACTGTAAAAAACACATTCTTGTCATGGGAATTCTGCAAGTGTATCTCTTACTTTCCTTCCACTCTGTTTTCCTGTCCTACACGAGACTTTTCATAGGCAATTGGTCAGTTCCTAGTCTGCCCTAGTCAGAATTTGGAAAGAGAGATTCAAATACTCTTAGAGTATATACTATTGAAATGTTTAAGCTACATTTGAGTAAAGTTCAAATTTGTGACTTTATAGGGGCATACAGAGAACTTTTAACTGAAAAACTTCCCCCAGAAGTGTGGATCTAATGTAAACCTTTCAAAGGTAGGAAAATTGATTTACTAAAAATGTGCCGGGCATCAATGGCTCATGTGGATAATCCTAGCTACTCAGGAGGCAGAGATTTAAGGATCACAGTTAGAAGCCAACTCAGACAGGAAAGTCTGTGAGATTCTTAACCACAGAGAGCCAGAAGTAGAACTGTGGTTCAAGTAGTAGAGCAATAGCCTTGAGCACAAAAGCTCAGGGATAGCACAGAGACCCAGAGTTTAAGCCCCAGGAGCAGCCCCTCTCAAAACAGACAAATAGTTGTTGTGCTTTCCATAGATGATTGGGACAGGTAGGGTTAACGTTTGAGTACATAAAAAAATTCTCAGAATCATAACTTAGGTTTTGTTTCACTCGCAATTCAAACACTTAGACTAAAATATGATACTACCTCATCAGGAAGAGATCTATACACAGAAATATATTGTATTTAAGCAGGATGTGAAATGGAATTTAGCACAGAAGAGAAAAATTAGAAAAGATGAGCCACCTCTGAAAATCAGGAGAAATGATCATTCTAATGAAAATTTAAAGGAGATGTTTTTGTTATTCCCAATGTGTTTTTTGGGTAATGTAATTTATGGAGGTAAAAAATATATTTCTACTATTATAATAAAGATAAACTATCCTAACATATATGAGTACCTAGTAAAATTGAACATTTTCTCTCAAATGAAGATAAAAGCTTTCCAGTCACTTATATTCAACTACATTGGATCTCAGTATCTGTGGCTTATTTTGATTTGCAACAAATTTGGATGGAAATAAATGTGAGTGCTTATCTTACATAATAGCTTGCCACAAGTCTATTACTTGAATCATGTAGCATAGGGAAAATGTGTTTATCTCCTTGTGGGATTTTGCAAACCAAAGAAAGATCCATGTCTATGCACTTGGAATGTTTACAGTCACCATGAACCAATGTCACTGTCCTGCTTACTAGTTAGGAAAACAAATGTCAGCATAGAACAGGCTCTGCTGTGCCAGTCTTTAAGAAATATACATATCGTTTCTGGTTCAATAAAGTAATAATAATCATTGAATTTCTTACGCTTTATGTCTGAACATTCTTGTCAGGGAATTATTTTCCTCTTTTATGTTCTCTCTCTTCTTCATATTTCATGATACAATAGTCATGGTTGATATTTTGTATCAATATACAAGAGACTGCCCATACTTAAAGAAATTCTGACTGAGGAATTAATCCTGTGCCATTTACGTTTTACTAATATCATCTTACCATTAAATGGAATATTGATAATATCTGTCATTTAATAAACAGAGAAGTGTAGAAATTTACTTCATATCAATTTTGAAACTGATATGGGAAAGTCACTGAAACAGCTTGAGAGCCATTAAACATATTTTTCTAATGTATAAATTGCAGTGGTACAGCTCATTTAAAAGAAGTTTCATGATAATGATTATAATGACTTTTGTTTATTAGCATTCTGAACAAAATGTCCTCAGGGAATGGAAATATTTGATATTGTTTTTGAAACCATTATACTCAGAAATTCTGGAACTCTATTTGTTATATAATGAGTAATAATGACACCTGAAACTGATAAAGTGATAGGAAAGGACATTAAAAAGTATCCTTGAAAGTGGAGATGTGGCTTCTGTGGCAGAGCACCAACTTTGACCAAAACGCTAACAACAAACAACATGAGGACCTGAGTTCCAGCTCTAGTCCTGGCTTCTTAAAATAACATGTACGTTACAAAAAGAAAAAGAAACATTGATCAGAGTCAGGCTGTAACAACAGAGAAAAAAGACATGCACATAGGAGAGGTAAGTTGGATATGTAAGGCAAAGAGTTAATTTCCTTTAATATTATTAAATAATTATACAAATAGTGTCACAAACTGCTACAAAAAAATTTCCAAATAATATTAAATGATTGCACACAGAGGTTACAATTCCATAAGTCAGGTTCTGAGTGTCATGCATCTTGGCCAATGCCATCCATCCCATTGTTCATTTTCCTGAGTTCTGGCCATGGTGATTTCAATGCCTCCTAACTACCTACAAGTCCATGTGGAAAAGTTCAAAATGAGTGAGGCAGAAGAGGATGGCAAAGCCAGAAAGAGCAATTTTGAGTTTTACAATGTCAAATTGTGAATCAATTAAATTTTGTGCTCTAGCTCTCTCCGTCCACTTTATCAAACTCAACTATCACTAGACAGCTCGTGTCTTTGTCATTTTCCTCTGAAGTAGTCTCCACATTTTCCAAAAACACAAATTTATCATTGCCATTATTACCTATCTCTTTTATTTAAAACTTTTACTGGTTTTCTTTTGCACCTAAGAATGAGTTTCCTGTCCTTCCCTCAACACAACAGGCCATCTGTCACAGAGATGCCTTTCTTTCAGGTCTTCTCTGAAAATTGCTCACTCTAGTCATACAAGAGCACTGACGTGGACTCCATAGCCCAATGTGATATTTTGTGATTTTCATATTTTGGTAAATGTTTTACCCACTTGTTCTAACATCCTTCCATTCCTTGACCTTTGTCAGAGATATGATCTTTTAGGATAGAGGTACAATAGTGTCTGTTATGTACCTTTTTCCACCTTCACATGTAATCCTTCACCTGTTACCACTAGATCTGACTACTCTCCAATTACAATTAGACAAATGTATTTCAGTTCTTTGCACGTTTGACTCTTACTTGAGAACACAGAATTCCAGCTATGCCAGACACTTTGGTTTGCAAATAAACCAAGGTTGCCAAAGTCCTTAGTTTTCTGTAAAAAAAAAAAAAAGTATCTTTTATCTATCAATAAATAAAGTGACTTAGGCACATCATATTCCTTCCTCAGTTTTTTTCCAGGTTATAGGGCACTATCATATTGTACAATTGAAACATGTAGAAAAATCTAAATCTCAAACATGAAAGAAGGGAATAGCATAATGAATCCCTTCCCTCTAAATATTTTAAGTCAATTCCCTAGACCAACTAACATTATCTTTACAAATATTATTGTAACATATTTCTAGAAGACATGGATGCTTTTCAAAGACATACTGATGGTACCATAACCATACTTAAAATTTTAACTGGTCCCAATAATCAGTAATCACATTTTAAACAGTTTGCTTGTAAATATTTAGGAAAATTTGACTTTGTGACCAGATGACACTTTTAGTCTGAAACAGCACTTCTCAATTAGAGATAATTTTGTCTTTCTAGGGGATTTGGGAGATATCTAGAGACATTAGTATGTGTGTGTGTGTGTAAATATAAATGTTTGTGTGTGCTTACATCTAAAGGAGGAATGGTGTTGGGAGAAATGGGATAGAATAACGAAAGGGATGACATCAATCAAGATGCATTGCACTCATAAATGGACATGTTGTATTGAAACCTCTTTGTACAACTAAAAATAATGAAAGAAGAAGAGATGCTACTGGTATCTACCATCACAAAACCAAGGTTACTCTTAGTTGTCCTATAAAATACAGGTTAGCTGCCACATAATGAATAATACAGACCAAAATGTTAAGTGAACAGAGTCAGCAAACCCTGGTCTGAAGGTTCATCCTTCCCAACTGTTTGATTCTAAGTAATTTTTAAAATAAATTGAATGTAGGCATTCCCACATTCTGTACTTTGCTAGGACATGTCATGGTATAATTTAACATAAACACAATGTCTTATATTTGTTAGCAATTATATTGAGAAGCTACATCAGAGTTTATTCAATTTTATGTTAGAAAATTTCTTTTGCACTCTTATAGTGTCATGTGTTTCTACCAGGAAGCATATAATGTCTAATATCTCTCATCTTGTCTCATCAACATGTCAAACTACTGATGATCAATGACCATTCACATTAATTCACTAGAGGTTGCAAAGTGGTGATATTGCACTTTTATAATAGCATCCTCTATTGCAAACCTCTCTGCTTCCTGGCAATACTCATTATGTTTCACTATGAAAGCAGCCTTGTGCATTAAACATTTAAGCATTCCACATTTCCTTTTAGAAACATCCTGTACCGCATGGATGAGAAGACACCACAGTTCTCAGTGCTCCTGGAGATCCTGGAGCACTGCGAGTCACAGCCATCAAATGAAACCTTCCAAGCCACCATATCAGATGTGTGGAGCAGCATTAATTCAGCTCAGGTGTACTTCAAAGCAGGACTCCATGTGTTCGAGAGTGTCTTGGATGGAAAGAACTGAGAAAACTCTTCTATTAAAAAAACAACTGTTTACAATTCTGCAAGCAAAAGCTCTAATCTGACCAGATTTTCTGACATTGAAGACTTTTTTCCAATTGCTTTTCTTATTATTCCAATGTATTTTTAATGAACATATGAAACACATTTTGCACATTTGATATTCATATATCTATTTCTGAATAGGTAAATGCAAGTTATTGAGTTAATACTTAAGATTTATCCATTAAAAAGACATCTGCCGTATTTTTATATATAAAGTGTTTTTTATGGGGGGTCAAATTTCAAGAAGTTTTGGGCACCTTCATTCCTGTGGACAGGACATGTTCCTAATGAAAGCTTTTAGAATAGAAATGGAGAATTGATATAGTTTCAGATTAACTTCTCTATGAAATGTTCAGTGTAATGATTTCCAAGTATTCTGAATGGGTTGCCCAAAATCACTTTGAATGTTACTATTTTCTGAAATGAAGTTTCTCTTCTTAACACAATTCAATGTAGTAATACACTGTTTATGAAATTGTATTCTTTAAGTATTAATGAAAAAATAGGAGCTATAAACATTCCAAGGAAAAATCTCCAGATAGCTGCACAGTGCAATTTAAATGCAAATTTTTTTCCTAACAACATATAAGGTGACTAGCTCTGAGCTCCCCCTCCCGCCATAACTTTGCCCAAGTTGATTTATAAGAGTTTCAGGAGTGATGTGTGTCTTATGAGAAAGAAATTATTTCTTTCTTCTTTTTTCTCGGCTTGTGTTAAAATAAGAGAAACAAAGCATCCATAAAATGAAAGCATCCAGGAGGTTTTTTTCCTTCTTTTCTGAAGCTCCTCCTTAATGCAAGGTAGTTGTCACAGAATTCTATATAATTTCTTCAGGACCAATATAAAAAAAAAAGGCAAAGTTTCAGTTTGAAAACCCAAAATATCAAAAAGCACCAAAGTATTTTTACACTACTGACAGAAAAATAAACTTATTCTAAAATATATATATACATTTGATTTTATTGATTAATGAAGACTTTAAATGCCTGATGAAAACTTAATTTTTTTCTTTCTTTACCCTTAGTAATGGCTATGGTGTAACTGGAATATATGCATGCATCTAGTTTTATGAAGACAGTGTTGTTTTTTTGTTTTGTTTTGTTTTTTGGGTCCGGTCGTGGAGACTGAACTCTGTCCCTCAGCTCTTTAGCTCAAGGCTAGCGCCCTACCACTTGAACCACAGCGCCACTTGTGGCTTTTTTCTTTTTGCTTATGTGGTGCTGAGGAATTGAACCCAGGGCCTCATGCATGCAAGGCAAGCACTCTACCACTGAGCCACCTTCTCAGCCCCAAGAAGACAGTGTTTTTGTGTTTTATGAAGACAGTATTTTTGGTTTTGCCTTTCCTATGTTTTCAGCCTTCTCCCCTCTGGTAAATTCAGCTTTTTAGTGTGACTATGCCATTCAGTAATTCCAGCATCCAACTATCTCACCAAACTTAAAATTCTTCCAATTAAGAGTCAGGTTTTTGCTTCTTCTCTTTAAAGCTAGTTTGTAAAATGTTCTTTTGGTATCAGGTAATTCAAAATCAGAATATCTCACATGAAATTTCTCTTTCAAAATCAATATCTGAACACATTTCTCCATTCTGTTTATAAATTCACCAGAAAATTTCAAATAGTCCTTGTGTGTCTAACTGTCCAATTTGTATGGATGAGCCTAAATCCAATGTTATTTAAAAAAAAAACTAAAGTTGAGGGAAAATAATTTATCAGTATTGATTCATTGATTTATAAGGGTCAGACGTTGCTATTTTAAGTAATGTTTATATGCTCAAAGAAAGGTAGAAAATTGGGGCAATTAGCTAAGCAATTCAAGCAGAACTTCATTTTCATTTGAATTGCCTGTGTGCACACAATTTTATATGAGAAATGAAACTACCTTACAATTTAACCAGGGTACTTGTTTGAAAATATTTGTCTTCTTCAGGAGTATATATAGGAAGAAGTCAAAAAAGCCTTTCATTCCTCTTGAGTCGGTAGCAATATCCTCTCTTTTTCTGCAAAGATCTGATATGTGTGAATACGCCTGTAAAAAACCTTAGCTCAAAGGATCTTAAATATTTAAGCAAAGGTCAACCTTTGATTCAGTCTTCATTCGGTACTTCATATGGAGTTTAATTTAAAACAAAGAATACCCATCTAGCTTCAGTTTGGTAGTTTATCATCTTAGAAAAGAATCCAAAATAAATTCCCATAACCCACTATCCTTTTGAAAGCAGAACAGATTCTTCTTTATTTTTGTTTAAAAATCATCTATTCCACTAAATCACATTCTATCTTTCAAATTCTCATTATGCTTAATTTATATATGATAGGCTACTTGCTATTTGAAAACAGCAGTTAACTATGAGTTCTCATGTCCATAATTTATTTAACTGTATCTACTAGTCTATTTAAAGGCCTGGGTGAAAAACTAAATTATAATTTTTTATAAAAATCCAATAAGTCTATATATGTATTCTACATCTATGACTTCTTTACTCACAGGATTATGGCTGTGGTATGATTACATCCATCCTGCTCCAGAGTTATCCCATTTAAATTGTCCCCGAGAAATCCAAGAAAATAAAGTCCAGAGTAAGCTAATAGCAAGTGTTATATGGATTATAGATGGCTGGTACTTCTCAAAATAGTTCATACATAGAATTGTGCCAGGAGATAGAGGGGCATACAAAATTCTTTTCCCAAGCATATGAAACAGATGTATATCTGTGAAATTTATATTTATACAGAAATCCCATGGAACATTGTGGAAAACCTAGATCTAAGAGATAAAAAAAACTGTTAAACATTCCTGTGTAAGCCTTAGGACCCTGACTTCAACCAAAACAAAACATGATCATGACTAGGAAACTTGAATGGGGTCATATATTTACTTAGTAGCAAAAGCCCTACTGGCTTTGTAAGCTTCTGTGATTTCTTCTGAAGCACACTTTGTTCTTTCTTCGGTAACACAGGAATAGATCATTTCTTCCTGTGTAATCCGTATAGCCAAGCCAGCATGTTGGGTGTCATCTTTTCTGGGATGCTGTTTTCAATTCCAGTTTGCTCTTTATATCTGGTTAATACAACTTCCTAGGGAATCCAGTCAAAGGACACAGAGAAAAGTTACTTGGGATAACATGGAAGTGTTTAAAGAAGACACCTGAAGTCAGGACAAAGCATAGCATCTTCACAAAGGACCTGCTATCTTGTTATAAAATCGGCACTCTATATCAGAATATTTCAAGTTGAAAATTGAGGAGAAGGGCATCGGAGCATCTGTTTTCTTATTCCAGACGTATTACTTTTGTAATAATCCCAAATCTACAAAATTCTGAGTCCCAATTCTTCCTGAGATGGCTTTAAACCATAGTCTTCAGATCTCAGCCTCCTAAGTAGCTACAGCTACAACCCACAGCTAATTAATATTTTAAATTAAATACACAGATAACATAGAGTAGATTCCTCCACTGGCAAAACAAATGTCACAAAAATAAATTAGTTGTTATGAAATGATTTGTTATCTTCTCTCTAGTGATGAATCAGCATCTTTGCCTCAAATAAAAACCAACAATTATTTATACAACAAACTGATAGGCTTGGGAAAAAAATCTTCTAAGATATTCTGTGTTATATGTAATTAATTATACCAAAATTAAGTTTCCTCCAAGTTGTCATCTCCTTGGTTTAAAAGACCATTTAACTGTAACTCAGCCACTCATGATTAATAGAATGGAAGTATTTTATTTTTTAAATTACATTGTAAAGGTGATGTATAGAAGGGTTAGTTACATGATTCTGGTAATAAGTACATTTCCTTTTTAATAATGTCTTCCCCTCCCTCATTCACTCCCAATTTTCCCCTCTGACTGCTCTCCACCCAAAGTTGTGTAGTGTCTAGTGGGTTTCTCTCGTGGGTTCACTGCTGGATTGTTTCACCCTTTGTTGCACTGTTTCTGTGCTTCCCCTTCCCATCTCCAAATCAGATAAACTTATGTACAAGACAAAGAGTACAGAAGTAACAAAACACCAAAAGAAGAGAATTAACCAAAGAAAAAAGGAAAGAAGAAAAGAAAAAAGAACTGAAAAGAGGATAAAAACAAAACAAAACAAAAAGATTACTTCTTTTTATACCAAGCCATGTGTTTGATAGAAATAAATAGACCCACTAATTCCAGTAAATATATGTACAATCTAATAGTTTTACTAAAACATCTTAAGTGGAGACCAGTTGTGGAGGGACAAACAATGGGGTATTTGAGAAAAGAAATATCTAACCCTGGCATCTTACTATAGTTGAATTACTTCCACAAATCCGATCTGCTAAATTAAAAGGCTTCATCTGAACCTACCATTCTGAAAGATCTGAAAAAGCTTCACAGAGTTCTAAGCACTCCATTAACTGTCAATGGTTTTCAGTCAAGTGGATTTGTTTTATGCAGAAAAAAAAAGGTTTCTGTAAAATATACCTTTTCTCCAGCCATCCCCATCTCCAGTCAATTTTTCTGTTTTCATTTTCTAGGTTCATTTTGACAATAGGCTTAGACATCTTTTCCCAAGAAAACTAATTTTGAGTTTTATCTATCTCAAGATAAATGTGTCTATTCATCCGCCAGAATTTTAGTTGAGTAAATTTGCATTGTTCTTCTGAGTACCTTCAGGGTAGCCGAGATGACAAGAATCATGAGTCCTGGCTTCTTGCAAGATAACATAGTTCTTGAAAACATTATAATCCCGTGTTCAGAATAGATCAGTCTTTATAGACAAATGGACTAAGCTGAGTTTGTTTCAGCTAATATGCAAGAAGTGCAAGCTGCTTCAAATTTTAATTTTTCTGATGTTGTTTTGTGTTGGAATTATACAGGTTCAGAGCTCACTGTGTAATCAAAATGGTAGTTTTAATATTTTCAACCAAAATCAAATCATCAAAGCCAAAGAAATGTATAGCTACTCTATTTTCCTATTCAGGATATACTGAAGAATCAACTCAGACACAGCTGATCCATTGCTATATACACATAATGTTTTAATAAGTGCAATAGAACCTAACAGTATTCCATCTCATTCCTTTGATGTCTTAAGCCAATAAGCATGGAAGTAAATTTTCTCAGAGAAAATAGATTTTGTTTTCCAGGGGCTAATTTATATGCACCACTT